GAGAGATCTGGACGCAGACGTCAGAAGAATGGGCAAGAACTGGAAGGAGGTAGAGAGCGCTGCTCAGGATAGAGGGACCTGGAGGAATCTTGTTAGTGACCTATGCCCCAAAAGGGGTAGCCGGCATAAGTAAGTAAGTAAGTAATGATATAGAAAGAATTAAAACTGAAGATGATATGTTAAAAAAAAAAACATTTTATAACTTAAATTTTACGCAAAGATTGTCAATTATTTAGCACAGAAAAAATCGTAAATACCCACAGCATATTTATAAGAACTATAATCTGTTTTTTTTTTTTTTTTTTTTTTTTTTTCATCGTTCTCTTTCGATGATGCATGTATATTTCTTTTAATAACAAAATTTTGTTAATTTCAATCTTTTCATGCTCATAAATCTGCGAATAACAGAACGAGGAATTCAGAAACTTAAAATCAAGAAGTTCTTTCACACCATCACACCGAACTCCGCTCCACGGTTAAGAGATATTAAAGTAATATGAAACCTAATGAAAGTTTTTTTTTTTTTTTTTTTTTTTTTTTTTTTTTTTTTTTAAATATATATAAACATAATTATTCATAATATTGATTAATCAATATTATTGATTAATGAACATAAACATTAGGAAAAAATACATGTACAGGTACCAGTCCAAACAAGTTTTGTTAAAAATAAAGGTTTTATATTTCATTATTCTATCAACAGCCCTGATAGCTTAGTTGTTAAAGCATTTGCTCTCCAATCTAAAGGTCGTGGGGTCGAATTCTGTTGGGAATGTTTCGTTTTTTTCTTTTTCTTTTTTTTTTCTTTCTTTTACATTAGCTTCGCCGAATTAACAAATTTGTAAACTCGACATTTATAATTTTTGTGAAGAAATTATTATAAAAATGATATTAAACCCGTTAAAGCAGTTTTATCGACGGTGTAATGGTGACTTAATGGTGGCGTAAAGGTAATTTAATGGTAGCTTAATGGGGTTTGGACATTAAGCACCTATAAGTCTGGCTTAATGGTGACTTAATGGTGACTTAAAAATTGTCTAGAATCTACCATTAAGCACCTATAAGTCACCATTAAGCTACCTTTAAGCACCCATTAAGGACTTTTAGATGGCTTAATGGTAACTTAAGGGTAACTTAATGGTGGTTAATTTATTACTTAAAGGTGCTTAATGGTGACTTAAAGACAATCATTAAGCCATCGTTAAGGACCTATAAGCCAAGTTTATATCAATTTCGCAGATCCAGTGGCGGGTTTAAGGGGGGCGCACCCGGCGTCCCCCTCCCTAAAATTGTCAAAGTTAGCGTTAATCATGGTTAATTCGTCGAGAAAATGTAAATAAATTAAATGTCTCTTGGTAGATTTCATTTTTACCCTATCAAATCTCTAGAATCCAGGAGCGTCCGAGGCCTTCATCCCTCTGGGCCCCCACTGGGGGCCTTAAGGCGGCCTCCAGATCCCCTGTCTACTTTTTTCCTTTTTGGGCCCCCTCTTACTTCAAATCCTGGATCCTTGCCTGAGATCTGCATACTGCATAAAGCAGAAAGAAACTGCATTCAAATCGCATTGACACAACATATTTTCCATTACCCAGATGTAAATATCAATGTTTAACGTAACAAAAATGCAGGAAAATATATGAAATATATATTTCTGTTGGTTTTTTTACAAGTACAATACATACATTGACAAAATATTAAGTAATGATTAAATCATTCGATATGTTGGAATTTCAGAAATTATTCAAAGCATGACTTAATGCCAATTTTTCTTTTTCGTTCACAAAAATAGAGACTCTAAACGCAACGTGATGTATAAACGTAGTCAAAATCTACAGACACGTACATATCAAGCGCGGGTTTTGCAGGTCAAAAACCACATTCAACATAACCATTAACACAATTATTTACGATTTGATAATTAATAAACAGACCTTTAAATTTTTATGTAAACATTCATCGTTTTAAGTCTTCCCTACAATGTTTGGGTACCATTTTGAAATTAGGCGTTTGAGTTTCGATCCAGACTGATATCTTGATTTGTAAATAGTGTAGCGATTTTATATGATATTGTGTGATATGACGTTAGAATCATGTTACATGAGCGAGTATTCTTTTTTTTAAATCTACTTGTAGCTAAACTTTTTATTTATTTAAGTGGGTTGTGTCACTGCCGGATTTCAGTACTTATAATGGCACTTATGTTAACAAACATTAGCAAATCTACCACGAAAGATGTTAATTGCATTGAAGTGACTCAGGTAATATTGGGATTAGAGGACATAATTACCGTTAATCACGAGCCGCTGGGACCAGAATACAGAATAGACAGTATCCGGACTACACAGAATTTTTTTTAGATACATTTGTTAAGGAAGTCCATGGTACTAAAATTTAAAGCCGAAATGGACAAAATTCCGGAGTACTCAGAATCCGGATTAGACAAATTATAATGTAAATTAAAATTCAACGTTTAATTGCTATTATCTTCATAATATGTATTTCGTGAGAATGAGTCCGCGATTTATTTTGTTTACCTTGCAATTGCTGCGGACTTACAGGTGTCCATAGTTTTTTTTTTTTTTTTTTTTTTTTTTTTTTTTTTTTTTTTTTAATTTTTTTAATACATAAATCAGTGTTGTCTTTCATCTTTGTTTTTTTTTTCTGAGCGGCGAGGGAAGCATAATTGTGTTTATTTTATGTTTGTATAATTTTACACATGTTTTATATTGCTTAGCTGCAGAACTGCATGTAGCTCTCAGCTTGAGAAAATTCGGACAGACAATGCAGAGAGCTACAGATCCAAGCGTTGTAAAAACCTTCGATTTGCGCCGCCGCTTTTTTGTCGCTCGCTTCGGCTATTATTTCTTGTATTTAATGCTTTCCCCTGCTTTAAAAGTGGAATCCAATAATTATCCATATATTTTACTCCTATTCCTGACACTTTATTTACCTTTCAATAGTTCCAGACGGCCGTAATATCAGTTTTAAAAATGCATTCCGACGTCGACGTTGGTGTCCTCCTGAAACAACACGCCCGAGTTTTATTTATCTCATTTCTTTTTTACATACATGTTGTATTCTAATCTTTATAGACAATATACATGATATTTAAACCTCCTGAAATTTTTATTTACATTTTCTTGACAAGTACATGTTCTTTGAATTACTTCTTTTTGCACAACCCCCATAACATGGACGTCGGAATGGGAATTTTTTAAACTGACATTTCAAAACCATAAAGGGCTGTTTGAGACCGTTGAAAGGTAGATAAAGTATCAGGAATAGAAGTAAAATATACGGATAATTATTGGATACCACTTTTAAAGCAGGGGAAAGCATTAAATACAAGAAATAATAGCCGAAGCGAGCGACAAAAAAGCGGCGGCGTAAATCGAAGGTTTTTACAACGCTTGGATCTGTAGCTCTCTGCATTGTCTGTCCGAATTTTCTCAAGCAGAGAGCTACAGTTCTGCAGCTATATATTGCTTTGTTCATAATGTTCATAATAACAGAATAATAAAATCTAGCGTCATCTCACATTGCGCTCCAATGCATACAAATGCATTTTTGTTAAAATCTGTGAAGTGAAGCGTGGACCATTTATGACTTAACGCGATGAGACATGTATACATTTCATACATTGTAGGTATATGAATCACATTTGAATTCGAAATCGCTGCCAATTACTTGAATCAAATTGGATAACACTGTTATACTCTGTATTTAACATCTGAAGGTATGTAAATACTTCTGGATTAACATTGTAACAGGTACACATGATTTATATAAGTACAAGATTTGGCACTTATTACGTGGATTTCTCATTTAAAGGGTGTTTAATATCGGTGGTCTGCGCAGGGCAATTTTTGACCTTCAAAAATAATATTTGACATCTTCAATTACAAAAAATAAGACATTATAAGCATCAATATTGTCAAAAACGGCGACGTCAGATGTTAATTGGGCGCACCACTGTAGCGTTCACTCTTGCTACACATACGGATTAAACCCGATCGACTTAACACTCTCGTCATTGAAGACATTCATTTATTGAACCGGAACTAAGACAAGGGTGATAACTCAACATGAAATTAAACATACAGAAATAGAGTAATCTTTCTTACATGAAACACTTACAAGTACAAACACTACATCCCTTCCTTTCTCGCTCAAAAACAACTATAATTCTCAATTAATACTATCTTCTACAATTCACACTTAAGTGATACTACTTTGTATCAACAGAAATGATAGTTTAATGTCCAAAGAAAAATGACAAGCATATATTGTAGAACATACAATGTACACTCAGTTAATAGTACATCATTTAGCATACATGATCCAGTTCACATACAGTCTAAGACTAATACATGGAAAATCCTTCAAACCTTGATGGAAGTTTCTTATTTCTTACAGGTCTGTGACTGACATTTAGATCACTATTTTCAATACTTGCATCATTAGAAAAACTAACAGGTGCAGAACTACAATCACTCTCTGGTTTACAATCAGCATTTGTATCAAGTTTCATTTCGCAGTTATCATCAACAATTTCATCACCAACAACAGGTTGTGGTTCATTATATTGTAACTCATTTGATCTACAAGTACTTTCTCTCTCATTAAATTTCTTTAAATGAGTAATGTTTCGTTTGTATTGTACTCCCTGATCTGATTCTACAATCGCACTGTTACCCTTCATTTGAACAACTTTAAAAGGTGAGGTGTTGAATGGAGTGGACAATTTATTTTCACGGTCTTGTTTCACAAGAACTTGGTCGCCGGCACGAATATCGGTCTCTGTTGCCCTACGATGTTTATCTGAATACATTTTACCCTTTTCCTTTCTTTCCGCATCACGGTCGCGTAATTCAAGATCATCAACATTATAGTCGAAAAGCTCAGGCAACTTTGTGCGAAGTTTACGACCAAAAAGTAACTGAGACGGACAAACACCAGTTGTCGAATGTGGTGTATTTCGATACATAACAAGAAATTTGTCAAGATTTCCAATCTCGGCCTTCAGCAAAAGCAATTCGAACACGTTTCATAATTGACCTATTTTGCCGCTCTACCTCGCCATTTGCCTGCGGCCATAAAGGAGTTGTCCTGTGATGAACTATGCCATTGTCTAACATGAAATCCTTAAAATGTTCACTTACAAACTGAGGACCATTGTCAGTGTGGATTGAAAATGGCAATCCATGAGTTAAACAAAACTTCGAGATTAAACTTGTTATGTTCTCTGATGAAATATTTTTCGTGACCGCGACCTCAAAATATCTACTGTAATAGTCTACAAGCACAAATATATACTCTTTACTTGGCAACGGACCTAAAAGATCTGCGGCAAGATGTTGCCATGGCGCGGAAGGCAATTCCCTGCGCTTCATCGGTTCGGGTTTACTGGGTTGACCCACTAACTGACAACCGTAACAACTCTTGCAAAATTTTTCAACACTCTTATCCAACCCTGGCCACCATACTTTACTTCTTAACAGCGATTTCATTGCAACAATGCCAGGATGGCCTTCATGCGCAAACTCCAGAACCTGATCACGCAACTGTAAGGGTATAACAATTCGTGTACCGCGCAATATTAACTTTCCAATCGAGCACAATTCAGCACGTACTGGTAAATATTGCTTAAACTCCATACGATGCCATTGTTGTGTAACAAGACACTGTCTTACAGAACACAGTTCTGGATCATTCTCTGATGCTCTCTCAATCTCGCGCGTTGTCATTGCCATCGGTGTAGCTTCTTTAGCTACAAACCTAACATAAGCATCTTCCAAATCTAGCGACTTTTGAGCAGGGTCATTCTTAACAAGACGCGAAAGCGTGTCTGCGATATTCCTTGGACCAGGAATATACCGAACTTTGAATGTGTATGGTTGCATTCGCAGCACCCATCGTTCTATTCTAGCACAAACTTTTGACTTGGGAGAGTATATACATTCAAGCGGCTTGTGGTCAGTGAGTAGCTCGAACTCTGTACCGTACAGATAAACATGAAACCTTTCACACGCCCATACTAAAGCTAGGGCCTCTTTCTCCGTCTGTGAGTAACGGCGCTCAGTATCACTCTAGCTGCGGCTTGCGTATGAAAGAACACGATGTTCTCCACTTTGCTCTTGCACAAGCACCGCCCCGAGTCCTACAGGACTAGCGTCAGCTATGACTTTTGTCGGCGCAGATTTGTCATAATAACCCAATGTTTTGGCATCTGCAAGTCGACGCTTTAACTCTACAAATGAATCTTGTTCTGATTTTCCCAATCTAAAAATTGAATTCTTGCGTGTCAACTCCCGTAGCGGAGCTGCTACCGTTGCTAGATCTGGAATAAATCTAGAACTATAATTTACAAGCCCTAAAAAAAACTGCGCACTTCACTAGAAGTTTTCGGTTCGCGCGCTTCGACAACAGCTTTGACTTTGGCATCCGACGGACCTATGCCACGACCAGACAACACATGACCCATAAATACAACTTCTGACATGTTCAATTCACATTTGTCCCTGTTAAGGGTAAACCCCTTTTCATACAACACTTTAACAACATTTTCAAGACATCTATCATGTTTTGTTTGACTACTTGCATGTACAATGATATCATCCATAATATTATGCACCCCCTCACAACCCTGCAATACTTGTTGCATGACTTTTTGATACATATCTGGGGCACAACTAATGCCAAACATAAGACGTTTGTACCTAAATAAACCCTTATGTGTCACAAAAGTAGTAATTTCTCGAGATTCAGGTTTTAACTCAATTTGATGATATGCCCAGGTAACATCAAGTTTGCTAAACACAGTACTACCATTCATTTCATGCAAAATTTCATCAATTGTCGGAATAGGGTGACGAACTCGTTGCACCGCAGTATTGGCCTGGCGCATGTCCACACAGAGTCTGATGTCATCACCTGAATGTTTGGGTAAACAAACAACTGGAGATATCCACAAACACGGCTCGTCCACACGTTCAATGATGTCCAAATCAAGCAGTTCATCCAACTTCTTGTCAAGTTTGTCACGCAAACTATAGGGAATACGTCTCATAGGTTGTATTACTGGCTCAACATCTGGGTCGATTGGTATTTCAAGTTGAAAAGATTTCAGCTTTCCTACACCTTTGAAGCATTTAGGGTATTTCTCAAAGACAGTTCTGTTGTCTGTATTGACAGCTTCACTAATGCTGCTAACAATCTGTAAAACACCCAACTGCACAGCTGTATCTCGACCAAGCAGGGCTTGTCCTTTCCCCTCAATGACCACGAATTCAACATCCGGAATGACAGTTTGGTTGTATTTCACAGTTGCAGTGAATATTCCAGCCACTTTCAGAGGTTGTTGACTTCCATAAGCAAAAAGCTGTTTTTCAACTTTGGAAGAAACACAGTTGATGTGGTTTTCCTTCAGATAGTTCCATAATGGCATTCCCATTATATTACAACTTGCCCCCGAGTCTATGATCATGCTGAGGTCAACATCCCCAATGTTCACAACAAGGCTGTCACTTAGCACAGAATTTTGGTGGACACGAAATGCGTATACTTTGCTGTCATCACTCTGGCCTGACTGCTCCGTAATGTGACGAATATTCCCTGGTTTCCCCTTTGCTCCACGGTCTTTGGTTTTACACATTTTCTCAAAATGTCCAACCTGCTTACACTTATGACATTTCTTTCCCCTAGCAGGGCATTTAGGGTCATTCCGCAGGTGTCCTTCATAACCACAACTAAAGCATTTACCGTTTGTCTTTTTCACAAAATGTTTCTTGTTTTGCACACTAACCTTGTTTACTACACCAGTTACGGCCCCTTGCGTGCGACCCTCAATTGATGTGGCTTGTCTCTCAGAGTCTTCCATAGCTCTCGCAGTTTCTCGGACTTGAGTTAGTGTAAGGTTCCTACCTTTCTCTAGTAATTTACGGCGTAAATTATGACGAACACACTTGTCAATGATTTGGTCACGTATCCTCTCATCAATCGCATCACGGTTCCCGAATTCACACGTTTCTGCTCTCTGGCGTAAACGGGTAATGTACTGTTCAATAGTTTCATGCTCTAATTGAGCCATGCTTCTAAACACAGACCTCTCGTAAGGAACATTTGCTTGCGGTTTAAAGTAATTGTCCAAGGCGTTCACCGCTTTCGCATATTCATCCTCTCCTTCTCCTTCCGGTAACGTAAAGAATATATCTTGTACGTCCATTCCTGCTGTATGGAGGAGCAACGCTTTAGCTTGATCTGCCTCCTTTACTCCTTTGCCTTTAGCATAAAGTTCGAATGCCCGACGCCATCTTTTCCATTTTGATGCAATGCCGGTCACATCTGCAACATCGAAATTCGGGATTCCCTGCACATCTGGTACCAAAACACTAGCCATCGTAAATTACTGGATGTTAAATATCCTCGTCGCCAATTTTAATGTAGCGTTCACTCTTGCTACACATACGGATTAAACCCGATCAACTTAACACTCTCGTCATTGAAGACATTCATTTATTGAACCGGAACTAAGACAAGGGTGATAACTCAACATAAAATTAAACATACAGAAATAGAGTAATCTTTCTTACATGAAACACTTACAAGTACAAACACTACAACCACCTAAGCAATAGAAAATGGATCCTTTTTTCATTGCCGTTTTAATACAGAATATATTACCAGATCTTTCTTTGTTGGTAATGGTTAAACACTGGTGGACATGTCTAATTTAAAATCAAGTTAAACATCGCCTACATCAGCAGGGATTTAAAACAGTTGGATATTTTTAAATGCCTAAATATATACCCCGAATCCGGAAAAGTCGTACCGTACCTATTTGAGTTTCGTCTATTTAAATCAGGGGGGGGGGGCATTTAAATCCCCGCTAGAACAATTATGTGGTGTATAGATCGAACTGTTTTACTGTACTGCCATTTTAAGAAGTAAACATAGTTTGATTTATCTGTTATCGATGTTATTTAAAACCAGTAGGGCTGAATATATGAATAACAATGAGTCAAAAAGTTTTTGCAAGTCGTTTTCATTTAGCGTTGTGATAATTAACTTGAAATACATGTAATTGTTGATTAATTATTTTTTTTTCCATCGGTATTTTTTTTTTAGAAATTTATTGAAGACAAGCTTTGGAGCTTTAATAGGTCACCCTGATACATGTATCAAATAGATGTATATGTACAGTCATGCATGTAATTTATTGCATTTATAACTGCATAATGGTGTGTCTTTCATTATGGATACCATCGTTTTTCATTAATGTTAAAAAATTTTCACATATTTATGTATGATGACATTTTTAATGACACTAAGCTTTATTTACTCCCCCAATTTTCAAAAAACCAAATACATGCAAAACATTTCTAAATCGACACGACTTTGACCAACGATATATAACGTGGTTGTGTTTTTACAGTAAACATTTTTGAGGAATGTTTGCCGGGTAGAACTCACGTGAGAATTTAAAATAATTTATTTCACAAGTGGGCTCAACAAAGTTACACAGGTAAATATCTCTTGCTTGGTATAGGAAAAACATTAAACTTTTCATACATTTTTAATATTTAAAGTACCAGCCTGTTGTACAAATTTCCTACTTTCACACAAGTTTTATAAATGTATAATGCGTCTTTTGTCTTTGGCACAAGTTTGTACAACGTTAGGCCGGAAAAAAAGCTTTGAAATGAATGCCAGTCCTCGATTTACTATAGAGAAAATCACAAATGTCGGCTGTCACCTAGCACTTTGTATGTCTTTGCTCTTTGTTTAAGCATGAATTTCAGCGCTAAAATTTGTTGAATCTTATGGTATAGATATTAATTAATAATATGAGATTTAAAAAAAAATATGCTTTATTTCAATCTTCATTTTTTCACACTTTACAGGGACCCATAAGTGCACTTGTTCTTATCACTTAGTGCTGTGTTGAACAGAGTTTGTCTCCTGTTCTTATAGCGAAAAGAGATGTAGATGGTGGAACGACACGGACACATGTATCGAGCACTGCTTTACACTTAGTAAAATAAGTTTAAAGATGGCTTCACTGGTTATCGGATGGAAGAGGTATCTGGTAAACCAACAAATATTAAGAGAAACGGAAAAGTCTAAAGCTGGACATCATATGTCAACAACAGTTGAACTTCGGTATCTCGAACACCGACATCTCAAATACCATGGATATGTCGAAGTGATTTGGAAGTCCCAACCACTTTTTCTTTAAGTATTTTACCCCTGATATCTCGAATCACTGGATATCTCTAAGTTTTTTCTCGGTCTCATTAAGTTCGAAGTGATGAGGTTTGACTGTACATGTGTATATTCATATACACGTAGTTTTATGAAATTTAAAGATACAGAAAATAGACTACTTTCTTTGTCTTATTGTCTTACGCACAGGAACATCATTCTGACTTTAAAATCATGCATTACTTTGAATAATATTTCTTTAAATTATAAGCAAATATATTAAAACAAAAACAAGAAGACATGCATTGTGGCAGGAGAGGTCATCACATTCGATGAAAGGAGGCGGGCGTGGGTACTCAAATCCGAGAAATATAAGTAAAATAGAGAGGTTCAAATGCCAGGTCAATGTCGTGCAATTAATTCTGAATTAAAAGGCAATTTCTGATAAGAAAACTTGCATAATTTGATTATCAAATGCGTTTGTCTTTCTAGCAGAAACTACCTACACCGAATTATTATTATAAATTGGAGTCGGATTTCACTTTTAAGATCGTCAGGATCATTCAGGAGCGTCCGGGGACCTTACCCTCTGGATCCCAATTAAGGCTTCGCCCTGGAACTACCGGAGGCCTTAAGAAGACCCACTAGACCTAATGCCTCTGGGTCTTTACATATTCTCCAAAGGAGGGCGGTACTCTTAGTAGAGAAGGGTGACATTTTAAACCGGCAGTTTCAGTCGGTTTTTAGCCCTAAATCTCCTCTTTCCCTCCTCCAGTGATGTAACATGAAGGTGAGTGACCAATATAATATCCCTCACTCAGCTGAGTATACCTTCATTACTGATGAATCCTCCCCAGCATGAAGCCACATGCCTGAAATAAAGGTAAGCACAGAGGGTATAGAGAAATTGTTGAAAAACCTGAAGACAGACAAGGCAGCTGGCCATGATCAGATCCCTCCCATCTTATTAAAGGAACTGAACTATGAGGTGAGTCCAATAATCCAAATCCTCTTTCAGCTCTCCTATGATACAGGTACATTACCTAGAGAGTTGTGCACAGCAAATGTAAGTCCATTATTTAAGAAGGGGGACATATCAAAACCGGCCAACTACAGACCAATATCCCTTACCTGTATACTGTGTAAAACTATGGAGCACATTATCACATCCAACTTGGAAGGCATTTGTACAGAACAACATTTTATACGATCTCCAACATGGATTTAGGGAGCGATGCAGTTGCGAAACCCAGATGATGATGTTAGTAGATGAGCTTGCCCGGAACATCCAGCACTGTAAGCAAACCGATTTGATCCTGCTAGATTTCAGCAAAGCTTTTGACAATGTCTCACACAACAAATTACTTTTCAAACTACATCAGTTTGGTGTTCGAGGCCGAAACCTTGCATGGATCAAGGGGTTCCTTAGTAAACGTTCCTAGAGGGTAGTGGTAGACGGCGAGTTTTCTGCATCCATCCCCGTTATATCTGGGGTCCCTCAGGGCTCAGTCCTCGGTTCCATTCTTTTTCTCCCCTATATAAATGATTTGCCGCAGCATATGAAGTCGCAGGTTCGACTCTTCGCAGATGACACTGTCATTTTTATCACTATGGATGGACATGGTTGTCAGTCAATGCTCCAAGAGGACCTTAAGCAACTAGAGAACTGGGAGACTTTGTGGGATATTAAATTTTATCCAATTAAAGTAAGTGTCAGGTTATCCATATAACGACATCCAGATACCCCACTCGTACTACATACTTCATGGTCAGGTATTAGAGAGTACCTCATCAGCTCGGTATCTGGGTGTCGATATATCGGATGACCTGAATTGGAGTAAGCACATCAGCCGGGTTACAAATAAAGCCAACAGCTTCCTTGGTTTTCTACGTAGAAACATACGAACCAGGAACAGCAGCTTTGGTTAGCGGCAAACAAGGCCGTGGTACGTCCACAGCTTGAGTATGATGCCAGTGTTTGGGACCCTCATTTGGTAGTATATATTAACCAAATTGAGGCAGTACAACACAGAGCTGCAAGGCGGGTGATGTCAGATTATAGTAGGACATCAAGTGTCTCATATACAATGTATGCTACACACCCTAGGTTGGTGACTTTTACAACAAAATAGGGCTGATGCAAGGCTTGTACTTATGTACAAGATCATACGTGGTCTGGTAGCCATCCCCTCAGTTCAATTCGTTACCCCCAGTAGGACTACGCGTTCATCTCATTCCCTTACCTTTCGACAGATACAAACTATAAAAAAAATGTCAATAAATGCTCTTTTTTCCCACTTACAATAGTTCAGTGGACCAGATTGCCAGGCAGTGTTGTCACACTTCCAGATTTTGAGCATTTCAAACTGGAGGTGGGCAAACTGAATCACCTCAGACCTTAATTATATAAAAGTGCTTTTATATCTTTTAATTGTGAATACTGTTTTTCTAAACTGTTATCTTCACTAATAACATAATACTATTGCCTTTTCACCCTATTGAAATTTACTTCCCTCTACATTTTTATTTATCTTTTAACCAGCTGTGCACCCTACTCAGAATACTCAATATTTGAGGGCGAGTAGTATCGAGAGATAGAGATAGAAATGCTGCAAGCATATCATCAGGTTCACTGAGTATTTGACAAGGTGTGAGTTGGCTCGTTTTACCAATGGATTGTGGAAAAAAAAAACCGGTAATCAGAATTAAGTATATTAATAAATGTTTTGTTCAATGCTTGGCCACATCAAAAAGTATCAAGCCAGTACATACGCACCAAAAGGAAATATAAATATTGAGTGAGAATATTTTTTTTTTTTTGAATGATACCAAAGTAAGAATTTTTACATTAAATAGAGAATAATATGTACATACTGACAGTTGATTTTCTCTTATAAACGTGAACTTGTACAATATGTTTTAATGTGGGGAATTACTCGCTTGGGTGGGGATAATGATATCTTTATTCCGTATTTGGATTGCTCTACTCGTGGACAACTTCCAGGTTTGAATTGTCCTCTACGGTGGCTGTAAATATCCAAAGAATAAAGGAATAATATATTTTATTTATGAAGTTTATTAATTGAAGTCGTCGATAGAAGTGCTAATAATTTCATAAACAAACAGTTACAAAAATAATTCGAAATATTATAAAAATACGTTTTAAAGTTAAAACAGGTGTACAGATGATTAAGC